CAGTGTACTTCATCAGTCTGCCTGTTCTGCTCCCCACTCTAGCTCTGGTGAATTCTCTCACCCTGCCGCGCTTCTGACTGTACCCAGTGCTTGTATAAATAAATGAGTGAATCTTTGGAAAAAAAAAAAACTATTTGGGGAGAGAGCATAGTAGTTGACTAGGGCTTCCATAATAAGATATGACAGACTGGGTAGCTTAAACAGCAGAAACGTGTTTTCTCATAGTTCTGGAGATTGGAAGCCCCAGAGAAAGATGCCAGCAGGGATTGTTTCTGATGGGGCTTCACAGCTGCCTTCTCACTGTGTCTGCCACATGGCCTTTTCTCTGTACATATCTGGAAAGCTCTGGTATCTCTTTCCCTTCTTATAAGGACACTAGTCCTTAAGGACAGGGGTCCCACACTTAGGTCTTCATTCAAAATTAATGATTTCCTTAAAGGCTCTATATCCAAATAGAGTCGAAATGTGGGTTAGGGTTTCAACATATGAACAATTCCATCCGTAACAGATTGCACACTCAAATGTGAGGTCGAGGGCAAAGTCCCTTCTTGTGTAGGCTTAAGAGCTGTGCCAAGGTAGACTTCAGTGAGAAGGCAAAATCTGAGCAAAGACATGAGGGAGGTAAAGTAGTTATCCTTGTGCCTATCAGAAGAAAAACAATTTCAGGCAGGGATATAGCCAATGCTAAAGTCTTAAAGAGGAATGTTTGGCAAACAGTAAAGAGACCGGTATGTGTATAGTGATAGGAGAGCAGGAAGAGATGAGGTCATGGGGAACAAGATGGTGTGGAGTTCTATAAGCCATTGTAAAGATTTTGAAAGGCAGCTCTGCTCACTACTATACCACCAACACATTCTAAAGACTTTGATTTTCACCTTAGTGAAATAGAAAACCATTGCAAGTTTTGAGCAAAGATATATGATTTACACATATATGTAGTTATGAGATGATTATTTTGGACAATAATGTGAAATTATGCATATACACATTAACTGCACTTTTTAAGGCCTTGATTTTAGAATCAAATTTAATATCAAGTTTATCAGGAGAATTTCCCACTCAAAGTTTTCCAGTATATGCTATAAACACAAAGGGGCTTCCTTTAATGTATCAAACATTTCCTGTGTTCTTTCTTCTACTGGATGTACTTGATCACACATTTCTTTGTGTTACTTCAAAATCTTTTAAACTAAGTTTTAGCTGACATGTATATTTAATATCAATGTCTAAGTCACTCTTTTTCTTATAGAATTAAAAAAAAAAGATTTATTCTTATTTATTTACAAGAACTGTGACATAAGCCAGAGGTGTAGGGGGTAAGAGGATTCACCAGAGATATAGTGGGAAGCAGAAAAGGCAGATCTACTGAAATACACGGCTGAGGGGAGAAGTGGGCGAGACAGGAGAGGTCTGCTGTGTCATGTGGGTTAGCATCCTGGCTGAAATTCAACTCAGGCCTTCACCCATCATAGTGATAGCACTAAGTCTTAACCCCAAAGCTAACAGGGAGGCCCTGTCTAAGTTACTGTTAAAGTCAATACTATAGTAGCTTGCCAAAAAAAGATGACTGGATCAAGGAGATGTGGTACATATACACAACAGAATACTACTCAGCAATCAAAAAAGATAAACACATGCAGTTTGCAGCAACATGGATGGAGCTAGAAGGGATCATGCTCAGCGAAATAAGTCAGAAAGAAAAAGAAAAATACCAGATAGTCTCACTCATAGCAGGAATTTAGAAAACCTAAATAAGGGATCAGGAAAAAAGACTAATTAATACAAAATAAAAATCAAAATCAATAAGCAAAGATAAACCAGAGACACACTACAGGGGGGTGGGGGGCAGGGAGAGGAAGGATTAGGGTCAAAATAAGGGGGGGTGCAATTGTATGGGGAATATAACCAAAATGAAAATGCATACATTGTGCAAAAATGAAGAATGATGTAAGAATTATATAAAATAAAATATTAAAAAAATTTCAAAGGGGTAGATTCCTCATACATCACACCTGATATCATAATACTTAGATATAGTTTGACTGATAAAAAAATTAAATAAATAGGAGATATCATACTTCACCTGGTGAAACGTGTTTCCCCCCCACAAAAAAAATTCTACCTCAGAGGGTTATGACTGCTAAGGAATAAAATGAGATTTTATCCAACTTGAAAGCTAAAAAAAAAAGTCAATACTATAGTAGCTTGGAATAAATATTTTGTGACTCAGGTATATGGAGAAAAAGAATAGTCATGAGTGACATTACTTTGTGCCTTCTACAGATAAATAATACTTTGAGGGACAATTGTATTCTATTTCATTCTCTTTGGCTTTTTTTTTTTTTAATATCCAAAAGGGCAGGTTTATTATAAAAGGGAAGGAAAGGTAAAGAATGCTTGCACAGACACAAGTGAGTACAAAAGAGCTGCGCCCAAAAGTTCAGATTTCTTAAAAGAAAGGCCTGCATAGTCACCGGCCTGCAGCCTTCTGAGAAGAGCTGCCTCTGCTGCTTTGCAAAGGGAGAAGGACAGTGAAGAGAAGCACCAGCATGGTCACAGGTCACAGGCAGGCTGGAGGGCTCCTGCTTCATTCTCTTCAGCTTTAATTAAATGATCATCTTTTATCTTCCATTAAAGAGAAACAAAAACTGGTTAACTAATATTCCTGTAACTTCCTTTGGCCATTAAGTAAAAACAAAAGAATTTAAGATTAGTGGATGAAAGTTGTATAACTAGTTTTAGGTCTAGGTAAAACTGTGAAAAAGGTCTTTAGCTTCCCCTAGGGAGTGTGGAGAAATTTGTCAAAGCATCTTTAACACCTTGCATAGTAGTTATCACATGAAAGTGCTTGTTATATATATATATATATATATATATATATATATATATATATATATATATATCTGTTAAATGTGCGATGATTTCCCTGAAACATTTTTCACTAATTTGTTAGGATCTTCAGATCCTGTCCATCCCTGGGGTATTTGCATTTTATTTATTTTTTTAAAGAGATTTATTTATTTATGCATACAAGAGCTGGGGATATAGGCCACAGGGGTGAGAGGATTCACCAGAGACAGAGTGGGGAACAGAACAGGCAGACTGACGAAATACACTGCTGAGGGGAGCAATGGGCAAGTCAGGGGAGGTCTGCTGCGCCATGTGGGTTCGAACTAGTGCTGCAGAAGCTGTGGATTGATTGCTTTATGTGCTTGCTTAACCCCTTGCACCACAAGGGAGGCCCAGTATTTGCATTCTAAAAGTCAGAGGAAATAGGCAACCTCTACCCAAAGGTCAAAAGGTCTGATATTGCTAAAGCTGAACATCAGACATCAGCAGAGAGATATTTTAAAGTAAGGAGTTTCCTCCTCCCCGCCCAGATACCCACCACTAAAGGACCCATAATCCTCCACCATAGTTCATTGGCCCCCTCCCCACTTTATTACCCATCTGACCCCCACCCCCTGTGGTAGTCTCAATTCTAAAGCCAGATTTCTAGGTGTTTTGGTTTAGTCATTTCTGTTCCTTTGTTGTTCTTTTTTTCTTTATATTCCATATATGAATGAAATCATCTGGTGTTTTTCTCCTTTTTTCACTTAGCATAATCCCCTCCAATTACATTTTTGTTGTTGAAAATGGAACCAACCTAAGTACCCAATTACAGATATGTGGATTAAGAAGATACACACACAGGAATACTACCCTATAAAAAATGTTTAAAACTATTTCCATTTCTTGATTATTGTACAAAAATTTCTGGAGCTGTTCATTCTAATGCAGTTTCTGTCAACTTGGAGACCACTTGCTTATAGTTTGTATAGTTATGTAGGACTTGAACCCTGGACCCTCCAACCTCAAGGTTGAGGCTCTTTCCCAGTAACTGACATTGCACGGGAAGGCCTGTCACAGAGATTGGGTGGTGAGGAACCGCGTCCTCTGAAGTGCCAAACTGCTGACAACAGCAGCCTGGCCATCATATGCTGGGCTTGGCAGCCCGTGTTGCAGACTGTTAAAAAAGAAAATCCACCTGAGTAAAATGTAAAGGTCTTATTTTAAATGGCTTTATCCAACCATCGTGAATTGGGCAACATCCAACTAAGCAGATAGAAAGGAGTATCAAGGAGCTATAAAAAAAATGAAGGAAGCAGAAACAATGAAGTTGTACAAGCAAAAAGTGGATTAGTCGTGTTAATCTGGGTATTCCAGATTTACTGACTTAAGATTCTATTTGTGGGACGGGAGAAAACTGTTTGGAGACATAGAGCTTAACATAAGTGAATTCACTTTGGAACTATTATTTTTAACAAACCAAAACCCTGGTTCCCACCCTCTGGAGACACTGCTATTTTAAGGCATATTAGACCTGACTGCAAGGGCTGTCTACGAATACGTTTCAGAAAGTCTAAGTTGAAAAATACACCCTTCCACTGAATTAATTCTACAGTGGCTTCCTAAACCTCCTTCCTAAATCTTCTTTACCTACGAAAGAAGTCTACAGTAACTCCCCAAGCCCCGGGCTAGGGCTCCTCCCCGGCAACCCTTCCTCCCTTTTCCAGTCCCTTCTCATAGTTCTTCTACTCCCCTCCTCTAGACTGACAAGGTGGACAGGGAGAAAGTCCGTATTGAATGGAGGAGCGAATCGGGCGCGGCGCACGCGCTTAAGGCTTTTCTAGCTGCCCTCCCCTCTCTCCCGGACCTGAGCAACAACCTCCCACCGCAGCAGGAGAGCGAAGACGCTAAACAGGCCTCCCCCTGCTCACCCCGGGGTTCCTAGGCCCCCAGGCCCCTCGGCTCGGCCCGCCCCCCTCCTTCCCTATTGGCCTTCCGGTTGTAACGTCACGTCTGCGACGCCGGAGCTGCCCCACCAGCGGAGGGCGGGGGTCGGGACGCCAGAGGCGGGGCCGACGCGCACGCGCAGGCGACCTGGCCTGGATCCGGACGGGAGGGGGGCGGGAGGGGGTGGTGTTCCCGGTTTCCTGGGTTACCTGAGGGGGCGGGGGTGGGGAGTTGGAGGCGACAGCGGCTACGACTCCGGATTCTCCTGGTGACGGGGAGTGTGTGGCGACGGCGACGGTCACAGAGCAGGTAAAGGTAGCTGCCGGGCGCCTACGATGCCAGCAGAGCGCCTTGGATCCGGGCTCTCTCCCTGGCCTGGAGGGAGGGCGGCTTGGGGCTCGAGGCGGGCGGTCGGGGCTGGGGGTCGCGGCCGCCGGGCTGAGCGCGCGGGGGACTCGGCCCGACGCGCGGGCCTGGGGCTTCCTCTCCGGCTCGCGGCTCGGGGAAGTCTCCCCGCGGACCCGGGCCGCCTTTGACAGCTGCAGAGCCCCGGGCGGGAGCTTCGCCAGCGCCCTCCGAACCTGTGTGGCGGCCGGGTGGCCACCGGCCACTAACTTTAATTCCCGGCGCGCGGGGGGCGGAGGTCGAGCAGACTGGCGGCGACTTGCTGCTTTCTTGATTGTTTGCATTGTGGTGAGCCGAGGCGCTCCTTCGCGCCGCCGGGCCCAGACTGGCAGCTTGACTGCTGGAGTTGACAGTTTCCGCGCCACTCCCCTGCGGGTCGCACCTTGAGCCCTGCCCTGCAGGGTGCTAGCCCACCTGTCATGTCCCCGGGCGTCCTAGTCCTTTGCATTTCTTCTTCCTGTGACACCTTTTGCCCGGGTGAAAGACGTCCCCAGTGGATCCTCAAGCAGCTGCTGTCTGCCCCAGGCATCTTTGGAGCCTGGCTGAGATGCCCCTTGGCCTCTAGTGGGATTAAACTGTGGGAAATACCCAAGAAGATCCCGCCCTGCAGTGTGGAGGCCAATCGGTTGTTTTAGTGGTGCAGGGCATAAGCTCAGAGGCTTGAAGAAACGCTTCCTAGAGCTGATTCTTACCGGCTTAAACAAAACAAAACATTCCCTCTATGCTCAACAGACCATACACACCCAGTGACAGCACTTGGTAGTTATTAAGGTTTGTTTTAAGCAAATAGAAAAATTTAAGGAAGTTGGATTTTTGTGTTGAATAGGTTGGTGTTGAATTAAGATCACTGTTTCCCCGGGGGTCTGTTTTAAGCAGATAGGAAAATTTTTAAGGGAGTTGAATCTTGTGTTGAGTAAGTTGGTATCGAAATTAGACCAACGTTTCCTTGAAGAATGAATTTAGTTTGCATTTTCCCCAGGGTTTGTTTAAATGATTGATAGGACAAACTTACTTGAAGTTTTCTTCCTGATCATTCTTGCCTATTCTGTTGTTACTTTAAACTTCCACACCCAGAAACCTTATGCTAATAAAGATGTTGACTCTGAGTTTTCATTTTGTAGGTGTAGGTGATTAATATGGGGTATCTGTTTTAAAGAGCTTTGACAAGTACCCAACAGCTTTTTTCCTGATATCTCTTAGCTGTCATCCATAGTTACTGTAAAGATTGGAGAATTTGGAGAAGAGGGGTCATATGGAGAAAATGAGTTACTATAACTTAAGTAAATGTAAGTAATTTGTAGTTCAATAAAAAAGAAATTACTGGCAAAAAGGGAAAAAAGTAGTTTGCAAACTAAAATTATATATAAATTCAGTAAATATTTATTGGGCAAGACTATCTGTCAGACAGTTTTCCAACCAGAGAAATATCCCTTCCTTCATGGAGCTTAGATTCTAGTTAGGGTGACCTCAGATAATAAAATATGTGCTATGTCAGATGATGCTGAGGGCTATAGAGAAAAAGCAAGGAGAAGGCAGTAGGGGATGGGAGAGGGTTACCATTTTAACTACAGGTCACCAGAGAAGACAGGTTACTTGGAGAAGGTAATATTTGAGCTCCAAGAAGTTGAGAGGGCAATCTGTGCACCCACTAGGGGGAAGAGTGTTCAAGCAGAGCAAAAGGCACTTGCAAAAGCTTCAAGGCAGGAGTGTACTTGGGTATGTTTGAGGACAGAAGAGAAGCTGATTTGACTGTGGTGGTGTGAACAAAGTAGGAGTGGAAATGAAGTCAGATAAGTTAAGTCAGAATAGAAAATCAGATTGGGTAAGGCTTTATATAGGCCTTTGTAAGGAAGGACTTGGGATTCCACTTTGAGTGAAAAAAGGGACTCATCCATTGAATAAAGAGGGATTATAATCAGACTTGCCTTTTAAAAGGGTCACTATACCTGAGGGGAGAAATCCTATATTGTGAAAAAACAAACAAAGATATAAAATAATGACAAGTCATAAATATATATAAGTATATTGGTGTGTGTATATAATGTGTGTATACATATAAATATATAAAAGCATGCATTTGAGTCCCCCCCAAAATAAAAAATAATCAAAATGGTCACTCCAGTGATTGGGTGGACAATAGACTTTATTTGGGAGCAGGGGTAGGAGAGGATTGAGAAGGAGCAGAAGCAAGAATGCCAATTTCTGCACTCTTACCATAACTTATAATGTACCTTGAATCAGAATGGAAATTGTGGAGTTCTGAATAAATTGAGGGTAGTGTCAACAGGAGACTTAAACGATACTAAAATTTTTGTCCTGAGAAAGTGGGAAGATGGGATGAACATGTCCTGAGATGAATTTTATGAGAGGAACAGTTTGGTGGGGAGCTTAGGAGTTAGTTAGAAGACAATAAAATTATACATCCTAGTGAAGAATATTAATAGTAGACTCTAGTGAGTTTATCTTGAACATACTTTACAATATATTGATGGTAAGAGGGCCTTATTTTCTCAAATTGTCAACTTCATGTTCATCTTCTGTTCAGCTCTTTTAGACTAACTTAGTCACTATTTCCAACCCTGTCCCCCATTTATTCTTTTCACCAAATGTTGTTTTATTTTTATTTGCTTGCATGCAGAGCATCTGTGTGTTCATTTCAATTGTAGAGAAAGTCATATAATCCGGAATTTCACAGTACCTTTTTAGTTTGTTGCTGTATTTAACGTGAACACCTTCATCTGATTAATCTTTTTCTAAATTATGTTTAGATGCCTGGTTTAAGAATTTTTTTTTAAACCTCAGAAATCTTGTTATAAAATGTAGCTTCAGGGCCTCCCCTGGTGGTGCAGCAGTTGAGCACTGGGCTGAGAAGCTGCCTGCAGCCTGTGCAGTGCCGGTTCGATCCCCAGCCGCAGGTGAGGGTCCCACTTGGTGCAATAGACCTACCATGTAGAGAGGTCTTTTCACAAAAATCCTTGTCTGTTGTAATAACTCCTTTTCTGGTACTGGTCCCTTATCTAAATTCTTTCAGGTAGATAAAAGAGAGAAAAGTTCTTCATTCCTCTGCTGGGTCTTGATTGCCTTCAGTTCAAAATAATCCGCATCGGCAAAGTGGCACATTTTGGGATGGACTACTCTGCTCCTCCTCTGTGTTCAAGGAGAACTTTTTAATCAAATTATGCAATATTTGGAACAATAGAAAGTGACCTGTAAAACTTGTGTCAAAAAATATCTCAGACTCCTGGAATTTGAGGTCTGCCCTTTACATTAAGAACCCAGGTAGTAAGCTACTCATATTCTTAAAAGGCTTTCAATCTACATACAGCCTGAAAGTACATAAAAATCTGTCAGATTAGTAACTATGAACTGATCTTGGAGTTGATGGGGACACTATATTCTCTTTAAGATTTATTATTGCGTACAAGAACTGGGGTACAGGCCAGAAGTGTGGGGGGTGGGAGGATTCACCAAAGACATAGTGGGGAACAGAATAGGCTGATCGACTGACGTACACTGCTGAGGGGAGCAGCAGGTGAGTCAGGAGAGGTGTGCTGCTCCAGGTGGGTTGCTCCCTGGCCTTCCGGGGATCTAACTTGTGCTGCAGAGGCTGCGGACAGCTTCATAGGTTGCGTCTTAACCCTTTGCGCCACCAGGGAGGCCCCAGACACTATATTCTCTTTGATATTACTTTCTTTTGCTGTTTTGTCTCACCAGTGTTTGTCCCTCTCTTTACTTGCCTGTCCTTGTTTTAGAGTTACTAGGAGAGATTTGATAAATTTGGATTTTTAAAAATGTTTTCCAGATCTAACTGCAGGGGAAATAAACAACAAAGAAAATCTTATCTAATAATATGAAAGAATAACTCTTAAATCGTGATCATCTTAACTAATAAAGGAATTGAACAATTTTCCATTCAAATGTGATTCTTCAAAACTGAAACTGAAAAGGATGAGACAATAAGAGCCCTTTGTCTAGCACTTTAAATGAGTTGAAGAAATAGACAAATAATAAAGTAGTCATATACTTAGAGATGTTTATATAACTAATATAAATATAGTTATCTTTGAAAAATAAAAAGAACAGATGATTTTTATCAGAAACCTGAAGAATTTCATATTTTAAATTTAAATATGGGGTGGGGAGAGGTGAAGCCCAGAAACTATACATTGAATGCCTGATACTGACTGATTCCTGGAAACACTATAGATGAGATTGCTGAACAGATGCTTAATGATTAGAAAAGAAAACACTGGTTACTAACACCCAGAATTGTTTTTTTAAGAATAAGTCAGATTAAGCTAACCTCATGTTCACTTTGCCATATAAATAACAATATTAAATAATCTTTGCAAACACCTCACACCTTATAGCGTGCTTTTCCACGTATTGCTTTTTTTACCCCTCACAACATTCCTTTGAGGTAGTGTCAGAGGAGGAGGTCCTCAACAGTATGGGCCATGGTAGGTGAAACGGGGACAGACGTAGGAAATTTTGGAAGGGACTTGCCTAGATATGGAATAAAGAAGATGATGGAATCAAGTGGGCTCAAAGTAGTCTAGATTGTTTGACTGAGTCAATGGTGATACCAGTAGCTGGTCTTAATTTTTTCAGTACAGGTGGAGGAATAGATTTGGTACTGTCAAATTCACTAGTGCACATCAAGTTGGTGGAAATAATTTATTTTCTCTGTTGGAATTGAGTCAGAAATAGAATTAATTTTTAGAGTACTTTTTTTTCCAAATCTTTTGGTAATAAAGGAAAAGCAGAGGCGTGATCGGGGAAAGGTGGTTTTTCTTTAAAGATGGAAGAGTCAAGGACACTTTAGTAGACTGAGGGAAAGGAGCCACTGAAAAAGAAGGAAGATTGAAGTCACAAGAGAAAGAAAATAAAACAGAATTTCAGGA